TAAACAATCCAAGCGCTAAGATTGCCCAGCGCGTAAGCCTGCAAATCACCTAAGAGATAGTCGTAGACTCATTTAAAAGCTTGTGGAGCGAATTCTTTAAATTGGATTTCAAACGCCCTCGACTACTGGGAGCTAAAATATCTATTAATTAATGAATATTGATGGTATTCTTTGCACTATAAAATTCGACTGAATATCGATGGAATTATAATATATGATTGAGACAAAAAGTTAAAATTTCTTGTTTGGGTTTTGAAACTTAAATATGACTTTCTTGATTTAAAATTAATGGTGAAAAGCTATTCGGAAGTGAAATTGCTGCACTTAAACTCTTGCTGCATATTCTGCGTCAATATATAGTAATGTGAAGAAATTACTGCAGACGAATAATGTCAGCCATGCGAGAATAAGACAAATAAAAAGTTAATGCGGATACATGTCTTATTTACTTATTACAATATTTAATTATTTCAGTTAGAATGCTTCTCTATAGAGAAGAGATCAGATAGACGCAATGAGTTAGTTACTGTACATCGTTTTCCTCCTGTAACCTCGTAGGTGATGGCAAAATTTCCAGGGAATGAGTTGGTAAAAAAGGAGAAATGGAAAAGGAACTACATGCATATAAGTAAATAATACAGATGAGTAGCTTAGCAAACAGTGCAGTTTATTTACATGAGACAAGTGTGGTAGAACAGATTGCGAGCAGAAACGTATCCGTTGAGTGCAGAGTCGTCGTGGTTCGGCGGGGACGCAGGCGGTGCAGAAGGTGAGGTCGGCGCAAAGTTTCTGTCAGGCGCCACGCTGGTCTCCGTCATCGCTCCACCAGCCTTGAGGGCGGCAGGGCGCCATCCTTGAAGGGCGAGCCGCTCAGGAGAGGGCCTAGACGGGCTTGGGCGCTGCCGGGGGCGGTCCGTACGCCCACTGGGGGGGTGCGGGGGCCCGTAAACGCCTAGGGGGCGGTGGGGGTGGGGGAGGAGGAGGGGAGGGAGGAGAGGAGGGGAGGAGGAGGAGGGTATCTCTGGGCGGTGGCCGTACACTGGGGGGTGGGGGAGGGGGAGGGAGGCGGGGGCGGGGGGGAGGGGGCGTACACCGGGGGCGGGGGGCGTACACGGTGCGGGGGGGAGGGGGAGGTGGGGGCGGGGGAGGGGGTGGGGCGTACACTGGGGAGGGGGAGGGGGGAGGCCGTACACGGGCGGGGTGGGGGAGGAAGGCGGCGGGGGTGGGGTGGGGGAGGAGGGCGTACACGGGGGTGGGGGCCCGTACGCGGTGGGGCGGGGGTGGCGGAGGAGCGTACAACTGGCGCCCAGGGGGCGTAGCGCGTGGGTGGCGGGGTGGGGGTGGGGAGGCGGGGGCGGGGGGTGGGGGTGGGTGGGGAGC